ACGTCATCCTTTATCTGTCATAATTACACCCTTATTTTATTACCAGGTCAGCATTTCATTCTTTCTAAATGCTATTATTCTTAGGCTCCTTTGAGTTTATTCTGGCTATACTGAGCGATCTATAACTTAGAGAATCCATTAGCTCTCTTATTTCCATGAGCTTAATCTCAAGAACTTGTCCATTCTTGTCACTTTTGTTACCTTTTCACTCACCCTTCTTTTTTTTATCCTTACTCCCATCTTCCTAAAACCTTGTTGCTCTACCATAATTTAGCCTGCAACCTACACATATCTATTCATACTTGTTCGCTAGCAAGTAGATTTCCTTATGTTATTCTAGAACATCAAGCGAGACATCACATCGTCTCTAACTCTTCTTTTATTCTCTAATTAGACCTTTCGGTACTTAGAAACCATAGGCTGGCAGGTATACCACTGACGATGCTGCTATCATTCCTGGATACTGAATCATAGTGCTTTTAGCCTTCTGTCCGAAGTTTGGACTATTCACGATCTTCTGCCTTTGAGTATCTTGTACATTGTTCACCTTTACCTTACTTACCTTAAAATCCACATCGTATCTTTTTTATCTCTTTCATGACCTCCTTCCCACATAGGTATAATTCTTATTCACAACTTGAAGCTCTATTATAATACTTGCACCTCTGGTGTATACACAATTCGGTGAGAGCTTCATACTGACTTCTTATAAGGCTGGTACTTCTTCTAACATGCTTTCTTGTAGAGCCATTATGGATTATAGTTGTACTATCCCTCTTGTACCTCTGATATTAAGAGTGATCCCACAATGTTCTTGATCACGATTTCTGTGATTTTCTAGGTCCAATAATCATAGTCCTGATTTACTTAGTTGATGTAACTCTTTAATTTCCTCTTTACCTTGATCAACCCTTGTGTAGGCTTAAGCTATCTTCCGATCTACGGATCATGGTATCAGTTATTACTTTAACCCTTCAAGGACGCTATGGAATATCCAGGATATAATCTTCTAATAATTCAATCCTTTGTCTATGACCTGGACTCAATTCTTTATTTTAACTTGTACCGGAGTCTTCTTGGCTGATCATTAATCGAATAATTCCTTTCGTTCCATTTTAGCTTTCTTCAAACGTAAGCAATTGCTTTTCCTGGTCATTTTGTCCCTTGTTGCGTACCTACTTAACTTATCTTAGTTCCCACGCATTCTTTTTGTGCAACTCATATAATCTCGAATACTACCTTTGATTTTACTTCCCGTTCATTAACCACGGTAGGTGCCACTTTCCTTTGGAGTACTTACAATGTTATTGCGAGACTGTTGTAGCATGACCATTTCCTCTTTGGGTCGTTGTGCTTAGGTTGAAGCCTTCTCCCTTATCTCCTCATCTAGTCTTTCGTTATAGTACTTAGGGAGAACTCTTGACTCTCGTAAAGCTATGAGCCTTATTACGGATCTTTTTGATGTCCTTCCTTGCCTATAATCATCCGTAGTTGTTTACCTTTGTGCCCTTCTGCTTGTAGGGTTGCTTCTGAACTGATATTTTGACTGCCTTTCCAGTGGTACTTTCTTTTATTTCCATAACATCCATACGATACCTTTTACTACCACAACTCCTATCTGAATATTTCTCAAGGGTTCCGATGTCATATCGGCGAGATTGAATTCTCCATGTTGGGGTTTACTATGTTAATCTTGCACGATCAGTTGATTTGTCTGTATCCTCTTTTCTAGTCATAACTAGGCTCGTCCTGAATCAACTGCTAACTATTCGTTGGCCCATTCTTATGTCAATATTCTGCGAAATCTTTCTTGGGGTATTTCCTTACATCTCGCACTGGATCCTTAATTATCAATAACATCTCAGGCAGGAACCCTTACTTTTTCTCCTTGACGTCGCGTTTGCATAATGTTCTGGAATCGTAGCATATCTATAGGATTCGAATAGTTATTATCAATGCATGAAATATTACTTATATGAATAGAGTTATTTATGGAATTTGTGCATTTGCACGTTTCGTTTGTGTCGTATAGATCATGCCAAAAGAAAGAAGGGATAGCCTTAACATACCTGTTCCTGAAATTATTTAAACGGAATGAAGCTTCTGCTGCTTCTGAATCCTTGAACGAAAATTGTGGTTGCTTCTTTGAAATTTCAATCGAACTTTTTGGCTAAGGATTTGAATTGTTTGGACGAAAATGGTTCTGCTCTAACGTTTTTGGTTTTAAAACCAAATACAAAATGAGATGTTGTTGGGAGCTTTTTCAAGGAATTCATACCAAGTCATGGATAAGGTTTACAATACAAGTCTTATTAAGACTTTAAGCTCATGACTTGGTTAAGTTACTTTAATTCCTAGGTAGACACCTGCACCTATATTATAATGAGTCACCTTTCCTGATTAGTGGCCTTGTGCCACGCTTCTAAAGTTTTGTTCGCTTATTAGTTAACTGAGTAATGTTGTGTTACCCGATAATTAATCAATTACCTGCATAATTTAGAATTACAACAAATTACTTAAAATTTTATTTATTTTTAATATACTATATATATCCCACTATCTTGGTCATACGGTACCTTGTATGGTACTAGACCGTAAATATCGGGTATTAACGCTCAACTCGTATTTTATCTCCAAATGCCAAACTTGGACGAAAATTTATTTTCTTTGACTTGCTTCCCCTTTCATCTTCACGAATTTACTCATCACTTGTGAAATAGCATAATCCTTATAATCTCCAAATAATCTTTTACTTGGACTGGTGTCAATTACCTTACGACAAATTCAACGTACAATACTACAGGGTGCAACATCGTCGTAACTTAATACTGCGAAGCGTAATACTACCGTAATGTAATACTGCAGGGTGCAACATTGTCGTAACTTATTACTGCGAAGCATAACATCATCGTAATGCAATACTGCAAGGCGTAACATCATCGTAATATAATACTGCAAGGCGTAACATCATCATAATATAGTACTGCAGGACGTAACGTTGTCGTAATATTGCGGGGTGTACATTACGAGTTATTCTAGGGTGTAACTCGAATGTTTTTACTTTATTGTCTTTTGATGTAAACCCTCATATCTTCAATTCAATGAAATGAAATCAATATTTCATCGTCAATGGATGTCTCTTTTTTTCTTTATTCTGATTTTGCTATTTTTCTTATCTTTTTCTTTTCAGTTCTAATAATGCAGATTTAAATAACATTACAGCTTATGGACTTCATGCCCAGATCTTATAATGTTGTCTAACTGTAAAATAATGAATCAAGAACCACAATATGATGAAGATGAGGCTTTTAGGGAAATAAATCGAGAATTGAACAATTTGAGAATAAGCCTAAGCCAAACTTAAATGAAACCGGGCAAGTTAATTTGGGCGGTCCAGAAGAGGCCCGGGAAACCATGATAAGCATTCACGCCGATGAAAGAACTAGAGATGCATTGATCCAATTTTTGTTTAAATTCAAAGACGTGTTTGCATGGTCCAATGATGATATGTCAGGACTAAGTGTTGATTTGGTAGTGCATAAATGGCCGACTTATCCCGGTTATCCTCCTGTCTAACAAAAGCAAAGAGAGTTCAAAACGGACATCAGTGATAAGATCAAAGAAGAACTCACCAAATAATTGAAAGCTGGTGTGATCCGAGTGGTCTGATACACCACATGGTTGGCTAATGTGGTCCAGTGCCGAAGAAAGACGGGAAAACCCGAGTGTGTGTTGATTATCGGGATTTGAACAAAGCAAGCCCCAAAGACAAATTCCCATTGCCAAACATCTACATTCTTGTTGACAACTGTGCCAAACATGAGATACAATCTTTCGTGGATTGTTATGCTGGGTATCACCAGGTTCTGATGGATGAAGAAGACGCAGAAAAGACGACTTTCACCACACCTTAGGGAACTTACTGTTACAGGGTCATGCCATTTAGTTTGAAAAACGCCGGGGCGACCTACGTGAGAGCTATGACTACCATCTTCCATGACGTGATGCACCAGGAAATTGAGGTGTATGTGGATGGTGATCATTAAATCCAGAACGCATGAAGACCATGTGCGGGATTTGAGAAAGTTCTTCGAGCGCCTGCGCAGGTATGACTTGAAATTGAACCCAGCTAAATGCGTATTTGGAGTTCTCCATCTGGAAAGCTTTTGGGGTTTATAGTCAGCTGGAGGGGTATCGAGTTAGATCCAACAAAGATAAAGTCTATTCGGGATTTGCCACCTCCGAGAACCAAGAAAGAGGTCATGGGTCTGTTAGGAAGATTGAATTACATCAGCAAGTTCATTGCTCAGCTTACTACCACGTGTGAGCCCATATTCAAGTTGTTGAAGAAAGATGCGGCGATCAAATGGACGGATGAATTTCAAGAGGCTTTTGATAAAATCAAAGAATATCTGTCAAATCTGCTAGTGTTGGTACCACCCGAGCCAGGAAGACCTTTGTTCTCATATCTAACAGTCTTGGAAAATTCCTTTGGTTGTGTCCTGGGGCAACATGATGTGACCGGGAAGAGAGAACAAGCCATATACTACCTGAGCAAGTAGTTCACCAGTTATGAAGCCAAATACACTCTATTAGAAAGAACTTGCTGCGCCCTAACTTGGGTCGCCCAGAAGCTCAGACATTATCTTTTGGCCTACACCACATATCTCATAACCAGAATGGATCCTCTAAAGTACATATTCCAAAAACCAATGCCTACGGGAAGGCTCGCAAAATGGCAAATCCTGCTCACTGGGTTCGACATTGTTTATGTCACCCGCACGGCAATGAAAGCCCAAGCCTTGGCTGATCATCTAGCTGAGAACCTGGTTGATGATGAATACCAACCCCTAAGCACTTATTTCCCAGACGAGGAAGTAAATTCAATTGAAGTAATTCCATAGGACACCAATGCTTGGAAAATGTTCTTTGATGGAGCTGTAAATGCAAAAGGTGTCGGGATTGGGGCAATTCTGATTTCACCCATGGGTCAACACTATATGGCCATAGCCCGGCTTCGGTTCTTCTGTACCAGCAACACCGCTAAGTATGAAGCCTGCATTATAGGCATGAATATGGGAGTGGACCTGGATGTGGAGGAATTGTTAATCATGGGAGATTCTGACTTGATTATTCGGCAAGCCCAAGGTGAATGGGAAACTCGAGATATCAAACTCATCTCGTATAGGCAATATGTGGAAGATCTTAGCAAACGATTCAAGTCCGTCAAGTTCAGGTATATTCCTCGATTCCACAATGAGTTAGCTGATGCATTAGCTACTTTGGCCTCAATGCTACCATATCCGGGCAGTGTCCATATTGACCCGCTGGAAATCCAAATTCGCGAAAGGCATAGTTATTATAATGCAATTAAAATAGATCCAGATGTTCAGCCATGGTATCATGATATCAAAAGGTTTTTGAAAACGAAGGAATATCCTAAGCAGGCCAGTGGTGATCAAAAAAGAACTATCAGAAGGCTTGCCAGCAGTTTCTTTTTTAGCGCAGAGGTCTTGTACAAAAGAACTCTAGATTTGAATCTTTTGAGGTGCGTAGATGCCCGAGAAGCTGAAAAGATCATGAACGAAGTGCATTCGGGAGTATGTGGGCCTCACATGAACGGATATGTCCTTGCAAAGAAAATCCTTTAGGTAGGTTATTATTGGATGACCATGGAAAAGGATTGCTTCAGTTTTGTCCGGAAGTGCCATCAGTGTCAGATACGTGGTGACCTGATTCATGCACCGCCTTCGGAGTTGCTTCCTATGTCAGCACCTTGGTCGTTCGTTGCCTAGGGTATGGATGTTATTTGACCGATTGAACCGAAAGCTTCAAATGGGCACAGATTCATCCTGGTTGCCATTGATTATTTCATAAAGTGGGTTGAAGCAATCACTTTTAAAGCCGTCACCAAGAAAGCGGTGGTGGACTTCGTGCATTCCAACATTATTTGTCGTATTGGTATTCCTAAGACTATCATTACAGACAATGCTGCAAATCTAAACAACAATTTGATGAGGGAGGTATGCGAACAATTTAAGATTACGCATCGTAACTCTACCCCTTATCGGCCCAAAGCTAATGGCGCTGTCGAAGCTGCAAACAAGAATATCAAGAAGATCCTCAGGAAAATGATTCAAAGTTCTAGACAATGGCATGAAAAGATGCCTTTTGCACTACTGGTACATCGCACAACCGTGTGCACATCGGTTGGGCCACGCCCTATTAATTGGTTTATGGCAATGAAGCCATAATACCCGGAGAAGTTGATATTCCCTCTCTTCGAATCATTGTTAAATCTGAGATCGAGAATGATAAATGAGTCAAAACCCGATTGGAAAAATTAACTATGATTGATGAAAAACGGATGGCCGCAATTTGCCATGGGCAGTTGTACCAACAGGGAATGGCCCATGCCTACAACAAGAAAGTGCGGCCTAGAAAATTTGAAGTGGGGCAACTCATTCTGAGACATATTCTCCCGCATCATGAAGAAGCCAAAGGAAAATATGCTCCAAATTGGAAAGGTCCTTACATTGTAAGAAGAATGTTGCCAAAGGGAGCACTATATTTGGGAGATATCGAAGGACATGATCCCGAAACAGCCGTCAGTGCAGATGCGGTCAAGAGGTATTACGTTTGACTACTTTCACAGCTTTTAACATGCTTCGATTGGAATGGCGAATGCTTTCTTTCTCACTATCCAAACACTACCAATTCTTTATAAGCCCTTTGAGCCATTTCCCTTTTTCTTTGATTACTCTCTTTGGAACCTGGAAGTTATTACAAATAAACAAAAAAGAACAAAAACAAAAATGATGATGAAAAATGAATGAAAAAAAAGAGAGAGAAAAGAAAACAAAACAAAGGAAAATCAACAACAACGCTCCTTCAAATACGTTCGAATTGATTCCTAAAGGATACGTAGGCAGCCTCTCTCTGGGGTTCAGTCACACCAAAACAAAAATCCAAAATTTCCCCCAAAAGTGAAACTGGGGCAGAATTTAAATGGTTCGGTGATAGTTTTGCCCAAAAGGTTCCAAAGTTGTAATTCAATCCAAATGCTTTTCACCCCAAAATCCTGTTCAAGTCCTTCCGATCAATCGGCAAAGATGTTCAAATTGGAGGATACAACTACTTGGATCTGATGCAACCAAATGAGAGAAATAAAATGAGAGATTCTTATCGGTGAAAATCCTCACGGGCACCGTAAGGCGTTTGTAAGCAGAGAAATCAAAATGAGAGAGTCTTGTCAGTGAAAACTCGCAAAGAGCACTATAAAGCGATGATGAGAAGAGAAATGAGAGAGGTCAGCTGGTGAAAACCCGCAAAGGGCGCCACTGATCGAAAAGAGGATCCCCACAGCCATCGGCATCGGCAGAGTCCTGGCAAGGTTTCCCGATTTTGAGGCATAAGTTGTGATGAACTTCTGAGAGTGGGGCAGTTTACACAGATCAGGCATCCAGCCCAAGAGGCATGTCATGTTCATTGAAGTCCGCATGCACTCCAGATAAGTCCTTCTTTCTTTTGCCCCGAAAGGGATACCTTATGTTGGGACCAAACACACACGCAAGTATACATGGTCGTCAAGTAATAAAGTGACTCAAAAGTCGGATGTCGAACCCACAGAGACTTAGATTGATCATTAACTAAGCAAACTAAAATCAATTAGTTTTCCAAGATAATCAAGAGTGATGTTCTTCTATTAGTCTACTATTGCAGAAATTAAACAAATAACAACTAAATCAACAAGAATGCAAATGGGTATGATGAGACTTTAATTCAGAGAAGATGAAGATTCCAGGGTTGTGGTTGGTTCATCAATCCTATTAAGTTCAATAATCACACTCGTTAATCCAGATTATCTGTGGTTGCTAACTAACCAGATCTTTTATAAGAATAGCATGTTCCCACAATACTACTCTCCTGTCCACAATATATCAATCCTATATTCCTATGGTATTGAGTCTATCATGAATGAATATAATACGATATTTAATTAAGCAAGACTGTTAGGTATATTCCTATCCTAACCGCGAAATCTTCCCCTGAGCCACGGGTTCAGAAACAAGCTCTCTTTAATTCTACTCTAATCTAAACATGTCTTTCACAAGCATAGCATAGATAGTTGGATGAATTGGTAGCTACAACAATTCACAAATTAAAACAAGAATTAAAGAAACAACCACAAGATGATAATCCGAATTAACATATATGTATTTAATAAACGTTAATAATCATGTCAACCACAACCCTAGAAACTAGAGTGCTTAGCCACTCATGTCCGTAGCACAATTTTCCAAGTATTTTGCATAAACAAATTACAAAGCAAAGATGAAGGAATGAAGAACTCGATGATTTCCTCCTCCAAAGAATGCTCCAATCGTCTTCTCCCTTTCAAATAGTCTCCCTAGGTCTAAGATATGTGAAAAGTCTTCAAAATAGCGTTTTTATATGTATTTATACCAAGTAGGATCAGGCCCAGACGAAACACCTTTTTCTGTGCGAAATAGGATTCTGGCTCTGTAAAATTTGCACAGGTGCGCCGCGTGGGGCGACGCGCCACGCGATGTGCTTGTGAGGAAGTTCAGAGAGTTGATTCTGATAGGCTGCAGGAAATTTCCACAGGTGCGGCGCGCGCCGCACCATGCGCCAGCGATAGTGGGAATTCGCAAAAATGCAAAACATGAAAGTTGTAACCCTTTCAAATAGCTTTCCAGCGATATATTGTGACAGCCCAAACAGAGTTCTGAGCAAAAATTTATGTGCATTTTACTAGACAATGCATTGTATGCCTGATCGATTCTCCGTTTCGTTTTTAACTATCATCCATTGATCCCCGAACACGATCCCGGCTTAATTCCTTGGGCTTTTACTCAAAATTCAAAGCTCCAAATTACTTGAATTCATTTCATAATATCTACACAGCTCGGAATCACTCCTGCAAGGCGTAAAATACACAATTAGTGAAGAACACTACCGATTAAAGCTCAAACTCAATTAAAGTGCAGTAAATCAGAGTGTAATCAGCGACTAAAATACGCAATTATAGCCTATCATCAACACCCCACACTTAAACCATTGCTCATCCTCGAGCAATGAAACTACACTTTATATAGACACGACCTTTTTAAATAATTCTCCTAACTCATCACACCATGAATATTTAAAATAGACTAAGCACAAGAGTGTAACATCTTCACCTCAAGATTTGAATCACAAGTACCACACATTATTCACAACTCGCCCACTTACTCTAACATAGAGGTCACTTACATTACCTTTTCTTCATGAATCAAGTGCCCTCACACAACAAATGAGAGTAGTTCCACACAATAAAATTTAAGAACACTTAGGAACTCAAGATAGAAAGAATTCATTCACTCTCAGAATTAAATAACATTCATATGCCACAAAAGATGCACCATAGGCTTGCCCGTAGTGTAGTACTCTACTAATCGAGCTCATTCAGTCTAGTATCAATTAGGACTTTATTTTGTTGTAATGTAGGCTGAGAGACGGGTAAGATACATTTAGATATAAGAGTGACTACACCTCCCTAAGCACTTTAATACTTATACTTTAACATTTAAAACCACACACTTATGTCAAACCATAACTCCACCTTCACATCAATATATATTAACTCCATACTTCTTTAAGCACAAGTATATCACTAGCCACCACCATCAAGAATTATTTTTCACAACAATACAACTAATTAATTTTCCTTTTTCAATTCAAGTGGCTTTTATTTTTTTTCAACACAGTGCACCTTTCTCCTTATTTAATTAGTTCCACTCAAAATCCAAACCAACCACCCCACACTTTAACTTTTACAAAGTTCATAGCAATTCAAGTACTCATGAGAGGTGAAGGGGTTCAAATAGATGGTTAATTCAAACAAATGGGTAAGGCTTGTAATATGGTTTCCAAAGAAACAGGATTACAAGATCAAAGGGGTTAACTATGATACGTAACAATTAGGCGGGTAAAATATATATATATATATGGCTCAACAAAGAAACGCCTATATCACTTCCAAGACTGAACAAAACTACTATTTCGCTTTGCAAACACACGGGGCAAGTTCTAGACATCAAATGCAATACACAAAATAACACAAAACCTTACACACACATGGCACATAACTCACTCAGGATTGGACTCATCAAGACACTCAAGTCAAAGCAGTTAAGCAAAGTTAAGATCATACAATTTAAGGTACTTATACAAGAGTCAAAATTGAGCCTAAGCGTCACAACCAAAGTACTCACTATTCTCAAGGCATAACGAAGTCAAGAGATATTGCTTTAATTCAATTCGTAGCACAATGGCTCCTACTCCTAAAAAAATAAAACTAACTATACCCGGTTCAAATAAAACCCATGAAAAAGAACCGCGGCACAAAGAAAAACCAAGGAGGGAATTATTACACTACCTAAAAAGAAAATCTTTTTGTCCTTTTTCTTTAGATTTAAATCCCTCAAGAAAATTGTCTAGGAGATCCGTCATCGAGAAAGGTCCAATTTTTTATTATTTTTTTTAACAAAAACTCTACACTAAGAACGAGTACTACAACTAAGCCAAATAGCACAAAAGCTCACCCAAACAATCTCCTCACCCACACTTAAAATTGTGCAATGTCCTC